CCTGAATAGTGCGATAATAGCTTCGAACCTTTGACGGTAATATCGCAAGGTCGCGCAGAGCCTGGGTTCTTTGTGGCTGCACCGCAAGTACTACCGCGAGTAGCATTTCTTGTTCAATGAAAACAGGTTGGCAAACAGACCATTTGAGCTTGCGAGCTTTAAGACTGCAACAAATAAAGTGATATCAGCTTTCTCTGGACATAAGCAAGGTAAGTTTGTGAGAAAAGGCTTTGAGATATTACTATCACTCACGATGACATTAATGTTTTTATCGCGCACGTTCTTCTTTTGCTCTTGCTTAATTCATCTTGCTACTGGGAATCATGGGAAACTTAAGGAACAGAGCGAATTTTTGCTAGAAAGTTCGAAGGAAAATTCGAGGAGAGCGAATTTTTGCTCGAAAAATCGGGCCAAATTATCAGTAGATGCGAATTACTGCTCGAAAATTCTCGTCAACTAAAACAATGGGCAGTGGGAAAATTCGCTGAATTTTCTTCGAACTTTCAAGGTGAACAAAACTTCGCCATTTTTTGTCGAAAAGCCCCAAAATTCGCGAATTTCATCGAATTACGCCCTCATTACTTTTGCACAATACTGTAATTTGTGTTTTTTTGTGTTCTTGTTCCTTTTCCCTTTTCTCTGTTGTTTCTTGCTTTGTACACGCTTTTTATAATGAGCATGCTTCCCAAAATCTAGACACAATATTTCAGATTAACTAGAAACAAAATCACTAAGTCGTTAAAAAGTGTGCACCAGCATTATGTAACAGCGTGTGATAACTAGTAAAAAAAAGTAAAAAAAAATAGTAAAAAAGGAAAAAAAATTGAAATAAATAGCATTATTTGTTTGGTAGAAATATAAGAAATGTGAATCATTAAGTTGGTAGAAATATAAGTAATGTGAAATTATCAGCATTTTTTTTAAAAGTAAGGTAGAAATCCAATAGGTTATTGTAAAACTATAGAAGGGGTTAATTGTGCCTAAAATTAATAATATCATATGCATACAATAGGGGGAGGGGAAAACGTTTTCTGGAATGTAAGTACTGTAACTATAACCAAGTAAGTAGTAGATAAATGTTGTACTGTAGCATTGTAAGTATTTTTCATTGTACAAAGTAGTGTATTTTCCTTTTCTTTTTTTTGGTCTGTTAGTGTGGAAATAAAGTTAATTAAAAAAAATTGGAATATGTAAAATGACCCTTGATGCGAGGATGCATCTCTTTTATTGGAAGGGGGGAAATGTAATGAAATTGATACAGTGATTGCATGAGCTAAGGTGCACGTGCTAAGATGTATAATGGTTCTATTTGAATGTGATGCTTGCAAAAGTTCTAAGACTAAGAGATGGTTATATGGCGAGTACTGAATGCGCAATGTACTTGTAAGACAGGATATATAAGGGACTCACGTTATGTAGTGGCCTGTGTGTGTGAGTAGACTTGCCGTGTAAAAGTAAGCTGAACGTTAAGAGTCGAGTGATTAAACTGTTGGCTGTTGGACTCTTGGGGTGGGTTATTGTCACCCACACGCATTACGTAAGTAATAAACGGCTACGTCATTTGAAGACAGTTGCTTACTTTGCACAACACCAAAATATTCCATTTGATTGAGTGCTGCTTGAATCCTTGAATCTCTGCAGCGGTTCCTTATTTGTTTGTCACCCAATTGTGTCATCCCATTTTAGGGGGTAGGGGTAGGAGAGTTTCTATCCTAATACATAAGGCTTGAAACAACAGGGAGCACAATCTTGTTGAGTAGGAAGAGAGTCAATAAAGGAATGAAAACAATGAATAGTTTAGCTCTGTCTCCTGAGATGTCTCCTGATGTCATTTCTTAACCCTCTACCTACGTGTCTTGTGTAACACTGTAGTGCTAAACTCGTACCTAGATCTTTTCGTGCTATGCAAATTTATTTTTGGTTTACATATAACACATGTTTTTTTGATATCTGCAGAAACTCTCTTGCACTCATTGGCTAGTTTTCATTGTCAATACACGGACAGACACATGAATTTATAGTTTATATAATGCGTCAACAAGTGAGAGTGGACAATTTGAGAATTTGTTATCGTAAAAAACAACTTGACATCAGTTTTTCATGTGTCCATCCTGTTATTGGCAAAGAATTTTCATCATAACATTGCCATTATCAAAGTAGTCTGTAGATCTACTCATAATGGATTGAAAATACTTGGAATTTTAAATATTTTTAATCCAGTACATGACATGTTTTTACACAGGAAGCCCAAAGCGTGAAACTGCTAATAAAGTGTTTATCTTGTGAAGAAGTTTCCAGTTTGCTCCCTCTATACAGACTACAATTTCTGAGTGTAAGCGTGCAGTATCCTTTTGGATCCTTCTTCCAAGTGGCGTCACCATTAGTAAACCAATTCTTATTCGATTCAAATATTATACATATAATACATATAAATAGAAAAACAATGAATAAATTGTTTTACTTACCCTACAAGTGCTCTATACAAAATATGCAGAGCAAAATATAAATATAAAAACAAATATTTATATTTGTATTTATATTATATACCCCTGCTTGCTAAAATGGGATGCTGTGATGGCATTGTGTGATGAACAAATAACGAACGGCTGAAAGATTGTGCTGTGCCAACACAGCAATAGTCAGCAATCGATCAAACATAATATTTTGGTGTAGTGTAAAGCAAGCAACTAATAATCTACAAATGACTTAGCCGTTTTTGACTTAGTTGGAGTGGTAATAATATGTGCCAAAAGATGATCACAGATTCATGGTATTCGACCATTGAATACATTGACAGTTGGTGATGTATGTTGCAAATTCATCGGACGTTGTGTAAACAGACGCAAATGTAACTGCTTTAAATGAAAAATGAATTGCATTTTATACTTTCCTGTCAACTTTACAATAATTCACGCTATAAATTTTTTGAAGACAAATAGAAAACAATCATTTTGATGTTTTAGATGATAGATCAAAAATTCTTTTTGTTATCAATAATGTTGACACCTACATGTGTATCTGTAGACTTACAGCTGCCTATATCCATTCATGCATGGATTACTGGGAGAATACTATTGCTTAATCAATTAAACTATTGTAATTTAGTTACACTATTTTAGCTGTATTATAATTATTTTAGGTAATAACATGTACTCATATAGGAATACTAAAATAAATTGTTATTGCTGTTGTATATGCAATGAATGGTGAGAGAAGCACGTTAAATCAACTTTTGAACCTGCCTTTTACAGCAAATAAGGTTAGAACATTTCAAAATTATCAGCTTTGTGTCTATTTCAGCTTAATATAGGTCAAGACATGTGGCGCATGCTAAAATATTAATGTCTTACCCATGGCAACAGAAGGTCAAAAATTTGCATTTTTAATGTACTTTGAAAAACTCTTGTGTTGCTCACAATCATTTGCCCAAATAAATTTTTACACGAATCTGTAAACCATCCTTCTACAATTCAACTGCCAGAAGTTTAATCCATTTGAAGGTTTTGCACAAGGACAAAATTAATGATATTCAAGAAGTACTTTTAAGTGAACGAAATACATGTCTTTGAAATTTAACTATTTTGCATGCAAAAAGACAATGCAGCATTCCCCCAAATCAACCCAGTACACATTTAAACACTGCACAAAACTATTTGAGTGTGCTCTCAAACTTGTTTAATAAAATGATGCCTCAAATTACGATTTTAACAGAATTTGGTAATTTGCATTTCTCTTTGTAGTAAAAGGATATTTTGCCAAAAAATCTATCCAGTAGCTTTTGTTACGCCCTAGCGTATCTACCATTAAAATATGAGCGAAATTGAATTTTCGACCCTTGCTGCGAAATTAAGAATTTGTCTAATTTTTACAGGCAGGCAGCCTTAACATACTACACAGGTCTAAATAGGGCTGTTACAAAGAGTAATGCATAGGACTATTCGTTCATTCATTTAGGAATACCAAAAACGTTTAGTATATGTAATGCCTACTGCGCAATCTGACTTTCTAAGGAACAGACTTACGTGTACTTGCTGCAAAATAACACCATTAAAACAATACAAACATTGTTGTCAGCTTTAATCCAACATCTCAATATCCTGTAATCGCAGTTTTAAACCTTAGCAATTTGTTATTAAGACCATGTTTTGACATGTTTTGTTGCTCCTTGGGGGTTAGTAAGTCGTTTTTTTTATAGCACTCCATGGAAGTTGCAATTTTGCTGGCTTTTGAAAACAAATGAACAAATACACGGTTTAAAAGTAAAACAAAAATAGTCATAACGATGGAATTTGATATTTTGAATCACTTTTTACATGTCCTTTCTCAATAGCTATCCAACTGTGACAGTCTACATTCATTGAGGCTTTTGGTTCATATTGTGCTATGTAGCAATATATGAAATGCTCGTTATAACAAAAGAAGCAAAAGACTTACAGCTCGTGTCTTCCTGCTCTTGGGAAATCTTGTGCAGCCAGTCCAAATGACAAAGGACTAGTTCCAAATTTGTACCTTGCTGAATTTTAGCACCCCTGAAAGGAATGGTGGTGTAAGGAGTAAATGCATGAACCACACCATAAGTTACAAAAGAGAGGCTTGCTTCCGACACGTTTCAATTAAACATATTGATCTTACACTTTCAGCAGTCATTACTTTAACTTAAAGATCACATACAAAAACAAAACTATTTGAATAAGGTTGCTTTTAACAATAACAATCTAACGGCCTCACATCAAATCTTTTATGCATAACCCAGCAATTAATCTGGACCAATTAAGTTCACTATTTCCAACTTAAAAGGCTTCTTAACTTTGGATTAAAGCAAATAACAACTTGCCAGCAGCTGAGCACCGCATTTGGCCTAATCCAAGGCTACGTGCAAGATGCCAAGGAGGGTTTGTGAGAGTATCAATATCCTGTGATAAGATATTTTCACACAACCTGAATTTAGAATTGTACAACAGTGCAGGTAGCAAACAAACATGGCATTAAGTAGGTACACATTACTTTCTCTTCTTGCTTGCAGAAGCTTGTTTACAGAGTTGCTGACCAATCAGCTGAGCAACTTCTCTTGGGTATTCCTGTGCCCAGTACCTGAGCAATGAAACACTAAACTGGTTTCCAGGCCTCTTTTCAGAGCATTCCATAGAAAGGACTGGGGTTAGTAGATCTGTGGATGGACTAAAAGAAAACAAAAACAAAACATCAAAGAGCTCTCAGAGTCTATTTCTAAATGCAAAGGCCTTTGCCTGATTCAATTCTCACTGAAGTAAGTCATTTGAAATTCAAGAACTGAAACAAAATGTATTCCTTGCCCTGTTTCTATGTGCTGTTGACAGGTGCTGTTGCGCTTTGTCAGCAAAGAGCTTGAAACAAGGAGCGTGGTGCTTGATGGTTAGGTACCTTACATAGCAAGCGTTAGTAATGTACTTATAGCCAGAGTTCTTGTACAAATACTCAGCATTCTGGCTACGTAAAAATTGGGTCTAGGGCAAAACATATCGACAAAGCTACCTCCGACTCTGGCTTTTTTTTGCTCTTGCCCATAGTTTTGTGCAAGCAGACCTTACTTGTTCACACTTTACTGTGGAAATGCTTGTTATACAGGTTAATGGTTAGGTTGTGTTCCGATTTTCAAGTGCTATATACAGGCCCACAACACCATGGAGACCCACTCTGATGGGCACCTCACTCCAGTCAAGGAGGAACTCTTAGGAATGAGGCAGTTATTGTTTAACTGCTGTTACGAAGTTCTTCATTTTTTAATCGTCTTAATCCATTGGCTGTCAAAAGCACTGTTAAAATGGAAAAAAATGTATTTTCTGTTCTGTTCATTGCTTTTAAAATACATGTATCAATATTTAGCCAAAGCTGTAACAAGAAGTGCTAGCAAACCGGGACATTAATTAATAACTTTTTTGTTTAAGAGGAAATGAAGTAAAACTGCTTTTTGAACCAAAAAAAGATTCCCTATTAAAAAAAAAGTGACATTCCCCATGTTATATGCCTTACATGTATAATGCGATTTGTGTCAAGTTTTAAAAGGTCGAGTCCAATCGTGAAAAACTTTCTATTTTTTAGGCGATTTGTTCCTCAAACTCAGAGAAATAATCAAGTACAAGTTTTCCGTTTTTTGCTGCATCAGCCTTTTCTTACTATCCAGTCCTATTTTGTTTTGTGGTTTACAGTACTACGCCTCTTTTACTACCTTTTTTTCTTTCTAAGCGTACTAGTGCTTCAAGAAACAAGAACAACAATACTTACATTTACAGTTCTCACTCTGTTGTGCACCTGATCATTAATGACATAACAGACTAAAAAGACTTACGCAACACTTTTCATGAGGATAAGTAAGTTTGATAACGCCTCTGCATGCTGATCTTGCTTCAGTGAAGGAAGAATGTTAACAAAAGACTCCAACAATACATCTTCAGCTTGTATCAAGTGCCACACACACTGTTGCTCAAAAGATTCCCATTCTAGAGTGCTTTCTGGATACAAATGAAACCAGCAAATAATTAAGAATAACACATTAATTTTATAATACCCACTAGCAGACTCAAACGTACCAATTTACAAAAACAAGAAATTAACTAAGCCTTTTCCTAGAAATGTGTAAAGAAGTTGCAAAATGTGTGCTTTATTACAAGGGTTCAATTATTTTTAACTCTTAAATTTTTAGTGTTTTAAGCATTTAGATGAAAAAAAAGTTAAAATAATAAGAGTACCTGGCTGCCCGAAATAACCTTAATGGGGTAATAAGACTGGGCAGCCATCCTTAGTGAATTAAAGTAATTATTTATTTGGGCCAAATAAGAAGAGAAAATAAGAAAAAGACATGCAAGAGTACATACACACACAAAGACTAATTATCCATACAGATGTAGTGAAAAAAAGTTGGATGAATATTCACCAATGTTCACTGAACCGGAGGCAAATAATTGTTTTCGTATAATTTTCAGAGGTGAATATCAAGGACTACAAAATAACGGACTAAAAGATAAAAACACAGATGCTATATTATTGTTCATTCGCATACACATGAAGCTGTAGTTTTGTACATGTACATCGATTGTGAATCAATTTACTCATCGAATTCGGTAGTAAAACAAACAAGCAAGACACTATGAAAAATAAATTCATTCAGTACCCAGTACTCAGCTCGGAGGATTACATTGCTGATGAACACCAGATCTTCTTCAGTCATCTGAAAATTGCTGTTATAAGCCTCTCCTTCCAGGGTGAGATGAAATTCAAAAACTCTGCTTGCCCTTTGGGCAAGCTGTAATTTCATCTTACTAGCCAAATCTCTGGGGAGCTAGCCCGAAATTATTTTATTAAAAATAACGATAATTAAACCAATTTAATATGCAAAAATTATGTTAATAAATAATACAGAGCTTAGATGAACTAATTCTCAGACTTTGATTTGTACAATAAAACACTTAGAACACTTGATGAGTGATTCTAGAAACTTTCCATACCCCCACAGAGTTTTTTCCCCAGTTTGACCCCACCTCCTAGGATTTTCCGTTCCAGGGAGCTTCACGGCACTCCCCCCCATCTGCTGAAATTTCCCTGATTTTTCTATTTGGGTGCCGCTACCCCGTGGAAATTCCATGTCCATAAATAACAGGACTTAAGTCATTTATTTTAATCTCCTAGGTACTGCTATAAAACTTAGCTGCAGCTATTCATGGTTATATTGTAGACGAAGATGCAAGGTGACATATTTTTTCACAAACAATTGTTAACCTTGATATGGTCACACAACATACGCTATTGAACAATTGCGGGCTACGGGTTGATGGCCCGTGAGGCGAAGCCGAATGGGCTATTGACCCATGGCCATTAAGGGCGAAGGGTCTAATTGTTTTAGTATCACCCAACTAGTCGGACAGAAAAGGCAATAATAAATTTAGCAAATGCAAGTTGAAGAAATATTTATTTGGGAATAAACCGAAAGAAAGCGTCATGCTTGATTGCGCCAATTTCGCTACTCGAGGACTATTGCTAATAGTCCTCTAGAAGTGTAGCCAATTAAAATGCAGGATTTGCATTAGTCCACTAGTTAGGTGATACTAATTTATCGTACATTATTTATGGGGAAGTTTACTAGGTCAGGATCAAAGCTGCTGGGTAATGAAAGATTAAGGCTCTGAGATTTAATTTTCCAAAAAATGACCATGGAAAATTCTAGACATAAATTCATGTCATGTTAAAAATGAGTTTGAACTACAGTGAAACCTGTATTAAGCAGACACCCTTAGGACCCTCACTAGTATCCGCTTAGAAAGCAGGTTCCAACAATTATTATTTTGTGCAATAATAGTTAATTGTTAACCCTTTTGTAGCTCAGGGTAACACAGTGTAAGATCAAAGACTGCTCATAGCACAATGTCTAGTCAGTCAATGTGTCAATCTTGAATAATCTACTTAGCTTTAAAACGACAGTACTGAACAATTTTAAAGGAGTCTGAGCTGAGCTTTCAGAAGTCAAAAGCTCTTGAAGTTTCTGCTTATTGCAGGTTTTGTGCAACTAAATGGCTTAATACATGTATTGGTGTCCGTGTCTGTTTAACAAAGGTGTCCGCTGAATGCAGGTTTATTTTACAGTAAATGCAAAAAAAAAAATTTAGGACTCAAGCTGATGTCCACTTAATAGAGGGCATCAGCTTAATATGGGGTCTGCTTAATACAGGTTTCACTGTAACAACTGACTCAAAGGAGCTTCATTCACAAATGGCATAACAGCTGACTTTTTCTTCATTCAAAGAAGTTTTCATAAGTGAATCTAAGAAAGTACTGAAAATTCAAGCTCTTTTAAAAAACCCAGTCGAAGTTTTAATCTATGCATAGTCAAAACAACATGTCGAATTACTTTACACATGCAGTTATAGCGGGAAAGAAAAGTTGTCACCCAACATGTTTTTCAAAACAGCTGTTTCCAAATATCACTGAAATTTTCTTTCAAAAAAAGAAGACGTTAATAAAGTCATATGCTTTGTCTTTGTAGTTTGTAAATGATAATAAATTCATTTTCTGCCTTAATGTTTTTAATTTGTCACAGGTTTCAATCATGTCGTACTATAAATAATCAAATGAAATCTTGACTAACACTCCAGTGCTCTTACATGTAATAATACTCTTGATCAATAACGATTTCCTAAAACATAAGCAGGCGAATATTAACGTTAAAAGCCGACATTTCGAGGTCATTGTGACACCATTCTCAAGGCAAAGTTGATAAATAATGCAAAGATTTGATCTCTATACAGTCTCTACAAATTAGCATAATAACAAAGGATCACAAGTTCTTCAAGTGAATACCTTTGCACGAATCGAGTCCATTTGCATGTTTAGGGATGGCTTAAGTTTTCTCATAAAAACTATCTCCTCAGTTAGGCAATCAAATTTGTTAGAACATTTAGTAAGCACGTGAAATTGTTCTCAAATTTGTAGTATGTTTGAAATTGTAAGTCCAGTTTATTATTTGTAACCATTTTTAATAGTAACTTAATTAAGTATTTTATTGTAAATAATNTACTCAGGTGACAGCGTCTTCTGTAACAGTTACTTTATGGTTAGATTTTAGTTTAAAACTTTAGACGAGTGGCGTTAATGACTGATAAGATGTGATCTAACTATAACACCGAAATATCAAAGTTTAACAAAGGAGGATATGTAGTGTATGTTGCACTGATCATAATTTTACTGAGAATTGCAAAGAAATGCAAGCCAAGTTATGTTTTGATGATTGAGTGGTGACATTCATAACATCGTAGTTAGCAACAAAATTTAGTCGAAAGTATGAAAAAAAAGCAAGTTGTAAGCCATTAAAATTATAAGATGGCTTTAACAAAAACATCGGTATTCACGTACGCCAATTCCCTATCCACACCATCCCACCATCCATGCCATTTCTTATTTTTTGATTGGGATCATCTACCGTCCAATATGGGGATCATTTTTGGTTTGGGATCATTTGTGGTCCTGGGAACATTACCGTACCCATACAGTCCTGAAGATCCTAGTCACAAAAATGATATCTCCGGTTACATGTATATTTGACACAGATCATTCATTCAAATGGTAAAATACTCTTTCCTTAATGAAAAAAATTGTTTATCAAAGTTTCTATGGTGCACCGCTCACGTTTAGTTATGTTTTCTTCAAGGGAAAGTTCTGTGTTTCGGCATACATCAGCAAGTCGTTGCAAAGTGTTTATTGTCTGAACAGTTCTGAAGATTCTTGTTGAAAAAATGATATCTCCGGTTTTATTTGACACGAATCGTTCATTCAAACAGTTAAATGCTCTTTCGTTAGCCAAGAATTATTTATCAAAGTTTCTATGGCGTGCTACTCATGTTTAGTTATTTTTTTCTTCAACAAAAAGTTCTGTGTTTAGGCACGCATTGGCAAGTCACTTGCGAGATGTTTATTAGCTTTTACTGTTTGAAGTGTTGCGAAGACCTTGTCAAAAAAATGATATGTCCAGTTATATTTGACACAAACCGTTCATTCAAACGGTAAAATGCTCTTTCTTTAGCCAAATAATTGTTTATTAAAGTTTCACTGGCGCATTGCTCAGGTTTAGTTATTTTTTCAAGGAAAAGTTCTGTGTTTCGGCATGCATGGGCAAGTCGCTTGCCAGATGTTTATTGTTTGAAGCGTTCCGAAGACCTTGCTGAGAAAATGATATCTCTGGTTACATCTGACACAAACTGTTCATTCAAATGGTAAAACACTCTTTTGTTAGCCCAAGAATTATTTATCAAAGTTTCTATGGCGCGCTGCTCACATATTGTTATTTTTAATTTTCTTCAGGGAAAAGTTGTGTGTTTCGGCACATGTTTCCAAGTCGCTTGCTTGGACCGTGTTTACTTTGTGACAAAAAAATGCTATCTTTTGGTTGTGTTGTTTCCTCCATGAAGATGGGGTTGTTGAAGCGTGTATCCCCGGTTCTATTTGAGAACAAACAAAAACTGTTACAGTAAATTTTTGATTTAACGGCAAAATACTCTCTTTTTTAATTAATATTCAGTCAGTTAATTTTCTGTCAAGTGCTAACATTTTGCTAAGTCTAGTCTGAAGGCATACACGCGTATACTGTATATGCGTATTCAAAATAAAAAACTCTTTCTCGCTCTGTGGCAAGC